TTTTTTATTGGTGGTTACAATGCCTTTAGGTTGTCCGATAACTGGGCTGAACCTAGGGGCGAGGTTTTTGAAAGGGTGCTCTTGGATTGTCCGATAACCGGGCTAATCCAAGAGCTGGTTTTTTTAGGGTTCTCTGGAGTCGCAACCGATGTTTTTACCAGAAACATCGGAAAAGGAGTTTAAAAGGTGTTGGTTTTCGAAAAACTAACTTTAGTCGTTAGAACCAGAGTTGGGTAAGGGAGTTAGTTACGCATAAAGGAAATGTTAGTTCGTTTACGACGCCCCTTTCGGGTTCCCTATGATAGGCCATATATTCTGTTAATAAATAAACCGGAAAAATACGCTTTTGCCCCTTTTATTTTGCGGAATTTAAAAATTATGACTACATGGCCCTAATGTCTATTGCGTAATTTAAATAATGTGGTAAAAGGTAGAGAGAGAAAGTAGGAACCTCCGGAGCTAGCTTTCTATTAATTTTTGTAAATAGGGTGCTTTGCGGCAGCCCTTCACTCTACACGGCGTCGGAAAAACCTCTCGAAACGCTCGAAGAACACTCTAAAGACACTCAGAAACTCCGGAAATGCGTCGGAGGGATTCTAGAGAGAGAAACTATTGATGTGACTAGAGAGAGAGTGAGAAAACTGTGTGAAATGAGGGGAAGGGAGGCCCCTATTTATAGGGATTCGCGCCTGTCAAGTCTAGACGGCCGTCTCGCCATTTGTGCAAGGCGAGACAGCGGTCTCGACCCCAAAAGGTGAAAATCCTTATTTTTGTGCCAAAAATCCCTCCTATCCTAGTATGAAGCCTAATAGTCTCTCCTAGTGGCTTCTTAGGCTTCGCCCATCTTCGAAAAGGAGGTCTTCTGATCTTTCTTACGAGGCCGAGCAAGATTTGGGGTCTACAAGCCCAAAAGATCATGCAAAAGTTTAGGAGCATGATAAACTAAACAAGAAACCGAAGGGCTTGGATTAAGATAACACATACCACGTGATTCATGTCCTTCTCTAATCAGACGACCCATACCATGTTCCTGAATAACAAAAGAATTGTTATAGAACAATTCAAAGAACGAATAAGTTGACTTATAGAGATCAAGTTATAAGGACAATTAGGAATAAAAAGAACATAATTTAAATTTAGAGATGAAGTTAAAGGAAAATTGTCAACTCCTTGAGATTTCACTTTGAATTCATTAGCTATAATGATTAAGTGAGAATTTTTAGGATATGACAAGAAGGAAAATGATGAACTATTACTAGAAATATGATCAGAGGCACCAGAATCAAGAATTCATAGGTTCTGACCTTCCATTGATTTAGAAATTCATGTTGTTGAAACACTTGACATTGAAGAAGATTGACCATCACTGGTAAACTTTTTAAATTTGAACTTCAAAAATTCCTAATACTCCTTATAAAAAATCTTCATATTTGAATTTTTAGATTTAGATGCATGGGCAGTGATATTCTTTCCAAGAAAACCGTGCAAGAAATAACAATTTTCTTGTGTGTGCTCCATCCTCTTACAATAGGAGCATTGAGGATGAACTTTTATATTACCATGTTCTCCTCGACTGTTGCGTCCTCCTCCTCAACTATTGCGTCCTTCCCCTCGACCAGGAGAAGCAACCATAGCAAAAGTTTCAACAGTATCCACCTGATTCTCATTTGCCATAAGATTATGAACCTGAATAAACCTAGTAACAAAGATTATTCATTGATGGAGCCTAATCTCCAGCTAGGATTGTGATCATGCACGTGATCAAAATCAGAATGCAGGCTCATCAAAATTAGAACCATATACAACTTATCGAGTTTGAAGTTTGATTCCTCTAAGGTATTTTCCCCAAGAAACCTTTTTAATTCTTCTACAACAGTCCTAGTTTTTACAATGTGAGTCATCATGTCGTGATTGGTCAGCTTAAGTGATGTCACTCTTTGAGTTGCATCAAAGTGACGTTGAATATCATTAGCAAAAATATCTTGAGCCTTTTTCCAAAAAAAAGAAAGAACAGGTTTTGAATGACCTAAGAAGCTCAAGAATATTCGATTTCACAAACTACCATAAGATTGCACAAAGTTGGAAGTCAATTTTCTCCCATTGAGACCTTTCTAGAGTAGAAATGGAGTTTACATCCTTCTCCAATGGTCGTGATACCTTGACCAAAAAACCACAACTCAACTGATAAAAACTAGGATAAGTAATTTTTCCAGTTAAGTTTGACACTGGTTATGGTGGGAGTAGCAGAGAAGGTGAAGGTAGTGGATGAAGCCATATGAACCAAAGAAGACAAATAAAACCAAAAAAATAGGAGTACTCACGGGACCTTTCACACAAAGTTCTCAAAACAGAAAACTAAGGTCATCACTGGACTTGGAGGACGTTGACAACTCGAACGGAGGTGGTCAGCCTTGATTTTGACCATTAGAAGGCGGCACGTGGTACACACACACACTTGAGAAGACACTCTGGGATGGTTGTGCGTGACAGCGCGTGGGGCAACTGACGAAGGAGCGACTTGCTTGGATGGGTCACGCTCCTCAAGACACATAAAACCCCCACCTTCACCAGTCCAAATGGAGATAGTGGTGACCAAAAATCAGTGCAAGATCTTACCTGCTCTGATACCAACTTGAGATAAATTATTTAGAGTTTGTTAAAGTGTCAAAAGGCATTGTTACATTGTGTTTATAGAAAAGGAGATACAATAGAAAGGATATGAGCCTCAACCTAAAACTCTTAACCTTAGACTAAGGAACCTACAAAGAGAATCCAAAAAGATAGATAAACAACATATCTCAACAGTCCCAATTGAAACAAAATTTAATTAAAGCACAACATAATATGAACAAGTATGCAGATAAAAAGAGGAGGCATATTGAGTTCAAAGAAGGAGACATGATTTTGGTGAAACTGTAGTCGTATAAGCATAATTTAGGGGAGAAACATAACAATGACATGAATTCAACCCAAAATCTTAAAACATTGAGTTATCGATCTTTCTTTCTTATATATTACTTAATTTTTTCATTCTTACGTAATGTGGGACTTAGAATCACACTTGGATTCTCAACAATTTCCTTCTCCAGTATGAATTCCTCCACATTGGTACATCCCCTCTAGCTCACTAGTGGTCTTCCCATGTACCACCGTTCACCCTAACGGGACACGCTTTACTTGATCCACTCTGTCAGGAAGACTTTTGATACAAAGACCACTCTATCTCACTGCTGATCAACCACCCACATAAGAATTGACACCACTCTCAGCCCAAAACCTTAAAGCATTGGGTTATGGGCCTTTCTTCCTTATATGTTTCTCAACTTTTTCATTCTTATACAATGTGGGACTTAGAATCACAATTGGATTCCCAATAATCTTCCCCTCAAGTGTGAATTCTTCCACATTGGTACATCCTCTCTAGCTCACTAGTGGTCCTTTCATGTACCACCGTTCACCCTAACGGGACACGCTTTACCTGATCCACTTTGTCAGGAAGACTTTTAATACAAAGACCACTCTGCCTCACTGCTGATCAACCACCCACATAAGGATTGACACCACTCTCAGCCCAAAACCTTAAGGCATTGAGTTATGGGTTTTTCTTCCTTATATGTTGCTCACCTTTTTTATTCTTATACAATGTGGGACTTAGAATCACACTTGGATTCCCAACAATCTTCTCCTCAAGTGTAAATTCCTCCACATTGGTACATCCCCTCAAGCTCATTAGTGAGTCTTTCGATGGGGGATTCACAGGAGAGAAACACAACAACGAGACATAAGTTCAACTCAAATAAGGATTGACGTCACTCTCAACCAAAAACCTTAAAGCATTGAGTTATGGGTCTTTCTTTCTTACATGTTACTCAATTTTCTCATTCTTATACAATATGAGACTTAGAATCACACTTGGGGACACACTTTACCTAATCCACTCTGTTAGGAAGACTTTTGATACAAAGACTACTCTGACTCACTACAGATCAACCACCCACATAAGGATTAACATCACCCTCAGCCCAAAAACTATAAGGCATTGGGTTATGGGTCTTTTTTCCTTATATGTTACTCAACTTTTTCATTCTTATACAATGTGAGACTTAGAATCATACTTGGATTCCCAACAATCTCCCCCTCAAGTGTGAATTCCTCCACATTGGTACATCCCCTCAAGCTCACTAGTGAGTCTTTCAAGGGGGGATTCACAAGAGCGAAACACAATAATAAGACATAAGCTCGACTCAAATAAGGATTAATGTTACTCTCAACCAAAAACCTTAAGACATTATATTATGAGTCTTTCTTTCTTATATGTTGCTCAATTTTTCTATTCTTAGACAATGTGAGACTTAGAATCATACTTGAATTCCCAACATTTTGGACCTTTTCAAATTGCGAAGAAAATGGGTTTTGTTGCTTATAAGTTGTTGCTTCCAACTCATGCAAGAATCCATCTAGTTTTCCATTGTTCTCAGCTAAAACCATGTTTGGTGATCATATCAAACCATATATATTCTCTTGACCATGATGACTAATGAGGTTGACCCGATTCTGGAACCTATGGTTATTTTGAAAACCAGAGTAATCGTTAAAGGTAATCAGCAAATGCAACAGGCCTTAGTTCAATAGGAAGGCCTTGATAAGATACATGCAACATGAGAAGATTCACCATAGTTTCAAGAGACATATCCTGATGACAACTTTGGGGACAAGTTGTTTTTAATGGGGATGAGAATGTTATATCAGAAAATGAGGCAAACACAAAATTGGAAAAGTAGTGACAATGAGGACCAAGTACAGCTGGCACATGATCCACATGGGGTGGAGGTAGGAAAAGCTAAAGAGAGAGAATAACGAATTTGCATTTAGGCGAATACAAATTATGTGTGTCTCTTCTATATTGTTTTCTTCATGTTCTCTGTACATTGTTTTTTTTGTTTAGAAATCTTCCTCCAGTGTTATATTTCACTACAGTAAATAACACTACAGAAATTTTTTTACTTGACGTACAGTTCACTGTTTACTTTTCTTCCATTATATCCATCGTTACAAAAGGTTAGTTTTGGACTATCCATTTCATCGCCCTTCCCACGAACAATTTTCAACTGTAAGGTTACCAAGTCTGCACCACCTAAGCAATATTCATAGCCTAAAAATAATGGACTTTCTAGAACTTCCACCAGACAAAAATTCCTTTTCATCATATCTCACCAAGATAATCTGGAAACAAATACATGTCGGCAATGACTTCTCTCTGGTGAACACTGCAGGATGATGGCTTACGAACCTCCAAATTTTGAAAATAGGAAGGCAAAGTTCTGGAGATTTGTTCGACCTTAATGTTGGTGCACGAGAGTTCCCTCAACTTCAAGTATTTCAGATGAGGGGAATGAAAGTCAGAAGCTGGAAATTAGACGAAAGTGCAATGCCAAATCTTCAACATCTACTTATTGAAGACTGTGAGTACTTGTATGATCTTCCTGAACAACTCTGGTCCTCAACTACCTTACGAGAAGTGTGCATGCTTTGTGGCCCTCTGAAAGATTGGCGAACAGACTCAGACATGTGAAATTAAAGCATGGTTGTAAGCTCATGGTCTCTAATGCTTCTCCAAGGAGTCAATGAGATCAGAACTGATACCTGAATAGCAACAGATGGGGCAGTATAAGGTTCCATTTTTCTAATGATACACTATCTTTGATGTACAAATTTGTAAAAATTAGTTCATATTAAGATCATAATTACAGTTAACCAATTCTAGTTGGTATTCATAATGTAAGTCCAAATAATCAAATTGGGTACATGTTTACTGCATTTCAATTGACTTGCTAACAAATTTTCACTTGAAACCCATTAACTATTATTTGACTCAACTTCAGAAACTTATTTAGGATTTCATTCCAATGTCTAAAGGTACTATGGATCTCAGAACAAATCTTTAACCCTAGTATAAGGAATATACATAGAGAATAATAAAATGGATGAAAACATGTCTCAGCAAACCACCAACTTAAATGAACACAAACTTTAATAATATTGTCCCTGTTTTTCGTCCTGTATTCTGTATCTCTGTTTCTTTAATTGTCATGATCATCATAGTCATATCATAGCAAATTAACCATTTTCCTTTACCTCCACCCAAGAAAAGATTTATACATTCCTCTACCATGATTATTTGATAGTTAAAGCTAATTATTAGATGATTAAGAAAAAGACGACAAGTTACTAAATCAGACATCATTTATCAATTTATTCTGTCTAAAATTCAAATCAAGGTTACGTTAATGTTAAATCAAATATTCATTATATACCCCTTTGTTAAAAAGAAATTACAGTTGATTGATCATGGAGATTATATAATTTCTTTTACAAATTAGGATAGGAATTCTTTTAAAGTATAAATTAATGAATGAGATTTTGTTTAATTTCAATAAAAACCAGTTGTAATTTAGCAGGAGCGAGTTGTAGCATGTTAATTATATATTTGGCATTTAGATCAAAAGCTAAGTAAAAAATCAAAGTCTCCCAAAAAAAGGTAAAGTAAATAGAAAAAATGGGTCCACGCGTTTAGGTGTTCTTTATTTGGCGCCATGAAATTACATGTTTGTGATGACTTCACTGGTACAGTAGAAGAAAGATTGTTATATTACCATCTTATCTGTACTATATTATGTCACCAAACACTCTGCGCAAGGTTTCCCTGTTTCAAGGAAATGGCAAGGAGTGCTGTTGCCTTTTTGCTACAGAATTTGTCAAGGCTTCTCGAGGATCAATTGCAATTGCTTTCTGGCGTGGAGCACAAAATCATTTCCCTGCGCAACGAGCTCAAGTTTATATAGAAGTCTTCCTCAAGAGCTGTGAGGGGAAGTATTACCACTCAATTCCTAGGAATGATTAGTTCTCAAAATTTGTTATTTTTTGTTATATCATTCTTGTATCGAATTTTCTTATATGGTTACAATAGGTGGACCCGTAATATTGCCTCAGCCTTTTCAATTATTATTTCTTGTATATAAAAATTGATCTACAGTACTGATGATGATATATAAAAATGCAACTATTCAATTTAGAATATGGTATTAGAGTTTCGAGAAGGGCTATGCTTCTCAATCGTTTTTGTATTTATTGAGACATCTCTTTTCTTTCTGTTTCATTCATATTCTTTTCTAAAATTGTGAATGATGGCAAATCAGAGCTCCTATGCTGACTGACTATTTGACCAATCCCTCTAATCCTTTTTTTTTTCCACGCCAATGAAAGTCATTCTCAATCACTAGTTTCTCCTCCTTTAAATGGTCGAAATTATTATGCGTGGGCAAGAGTGATGAGGCTAACTCTATTATCCAAGAATAAGTTGAAGCTAGTAGATGGAAGCCTCACCCCTCCCTTGATGACAGACCCATTGTATGAAGTATGGGAAAGGTGCAATACTTTGGTATTGGCCTGGATGCACAGATCAATAGATGATTCCATTCTGCAATCTATTTTATGGATTGATTAAGCCTCAGACACATGGAATGATCTACAGGATAGGTTCTCACAGGGTGACATCTTTTGCATCTCAGATCTCCAAGAAGAGATCTATCACATGCACCAAGGGACTTTGTCTGTAAGTCAATATTTTACCCAATTAAAAAGTTTATGTGATAAACTTGAAAGTTTCGGACCAGTTGTCAATTGTAAATGCTCCATTTCTTGTATTTGTGGAGTCATTCAATCGTTCAAAATATATAAGGATCAGGATTATGTAATATGTTTTCTTCAAGGTCTAAATGATCAATTCACCCATGTCAAATCTCAAATCATGCTCATCGATCTTCTACCCCCTATTAATAAGGTGTTCTCGCTAGTTATTCAACAGGAAAGACACATAAACTCGACAATAATCGCAGATACTAATGCTAATTATAAGGCCTTTGTTGTTAATATTAATCTCATTCCAACTGTTGGTACTGCTAGGAGAGGTGCTTTTGGAAGGGGGAGGCGGTGCAGGAAGAGGACAAAATGTTGGCAATAAATTGTGCACTCACTGTAGCAGAAACAATCACACTATCGACACATGTTATTTCAAACACGGGTTCCCACCAGGCTACAAGTCAAGGGCCAGAAGTGCAAATACAGCAAGCATAGTTGATTATTACAATGACCAAGGGTTCCCAACACAGGTCGCTAGCCAACAATCAAGTGTTAACTTCACTCAGGAACAATATCAAGGCATATTGACACTCTTACAGCAGTCTAATCAAGGGGCTCCAACTACCTCACATTCATCCAATCTTGCTCATACCACAACCTTAAACACTGAATCCATGTCCAACACAGGTAAACATTGTAATCAGTGGCTTCTGGACACAGGTGCAGTTGATCACATGACTTTCAACATCTCTAGTTTTAGCTCATTAAATAAAATTACTCCATTATCTATTACCTTACCTAATGGATCCAAAACACATGTCATTTTTCTGGTACAGTTCATATCTCAGATTCTTTAATCCTTCTTGATGTATTGTATATACCTGATTTTCGAGTCAACCTAATTTCTTTTGCCAAATTGATTAAGACATTACATTGCTACCTTGTTTTTCACTCCCAATTTTTTTTTCATTTAACATATTTGCAACAAGAGGATGATTGGTTTAGCTGAGCATCATGATGGACTATACGTGTTAACCCCTTAGCATGCAACTTTGACAAAATTCAAACACAATTCCTCTGCTTGTACTAGATCTTCTTATGATCCTAATACTTCTGTCCTTTGGCACCTTAGGTTAGGCCACGTTTCTGACTCCAAGTTGAAGATCATATGTCAACATTTTCCTTTGGTTCCTTATAAAAACATTTTACCATGTGATGTATGTCAATATGCTAGACAAAGAGATTACCATACAGTTCTAGTATTAGTAAATCAATAAAAATATTTGATTTGATTCATGTGGATATATGGGGATCATGCTCTTTTACTTCCATTTCAGGTCACAAGTATTTTTTTAATCATTGTGGATGATTTTTCCAGATTCACTTTGGTTAAATTAATGAAACACAAAGGTGAAACTAGGAATCATCTTCAAAAATTTGTAAATTATATTAAAACACAATTTAACACTAAACTTAAAAGCATACGAAGTGACAATGGTCCAGAATTCTTCATGACAAAATTCTACCTTAGCAAAGGAATCATTCACCAAACCACTTGTGTTGAAACACCCCAACAAAATGGAGTGGTTGAAAGAAAACACCACACGTAATGAATGTTACAAGATCACTTCTTTTTCAAGCTCAACTCCCTAAACACCTTTGGTGCTATGTTGTAACACATTCCATTCATCTGATTAATAAACTACCAACTCCTTTGCTAAGGCAAAATTGCCCCTATGAAGTACTTTACGGGAAGGTTCCCACTCTTCATCATTTAAGGGTCTTTGGATGTTTAGCATATACTAGAAAACTATTTTTATTGGTTATAAAGATGGAACAAAGGGTTATGTTCTATATGATCTTCAATCAAGAAACATTTTTACTTCCAGGAATGTAGTGTTTTTTGAACAAACTTTTCCCTTTAGTGCCAATGAACATGAAAAATCACCATTTGATTTGTCAATGTTGCCACAACCTTGCTACAAAACTGTGCATCTTCCAACTAATTTACACATTCATGCACCTTGTAATTCTGTCCAAGAGCCTGCCCCAGCCATCATTGACTCATTGAATCCTGAACCCATTCTACAAATAATAATCAAGAGATTTCATTACATGTAAGGCGTTCTACTAGACAAAGGCAGCAACCACAGTATTTGAGGGATTATCACTGTAATCTATCTGCTTGCAGCTACATCAACTTCTCCTACGGTAAATTTTTACCCTCTACTTCAGTTTTATATCTTTTGTCATCTTATATCTCTTATGATAACTTTTCCCCATCTTATAAAACCTTATGTTGCAATGTAACCTCCCTAATTGAACCTCAAAGCTATGCACAAGCCTCTCAGTTAGACTGCTGGAAGAATGCCATGACTGTGTGGATTAAGGCTCTTGAGGAAAATAACACTTGGGTTCTTGTTGATCTTGTTAGAATCGCGCAGCGGAATGTTCGCGTGGTCGGACAAAAACCAAGAGGGGGGGGGTGAATTGGTTTCTTAATAAAAATTAGGTTTTCAAAATTTCCCCAAATTTTACCGATTAAAAACTGCGTAAATGTAAATAGAGAAGAGTAGAGAAGATTACACAAAGAGGTTTATACCGGTTCGGATCAAAAGACCCTACGTCCGACTTGCTAATCACTCAAAAGAGGATTAACGCCGTCACTAAGAACAAAGTTGTTACAACACAAATTATAATGAAAAAGATAAAGTTAAAGATAAAACCTCTCTTGAAATCCACAAGAGATGATAAACAGACTTTCCCCGGAGACGAGACAAAGACACAATCCACTAAGAACTCCACTTAGTGATTCTTATCGCTTCTAGCCTCACACCAAGTTTCCAAAAGCCCCGAAGAACAGCTTTTCCCGGAGACGAGCACAAGCACTCAATCCACTAAGAACTCCACTTAGTGATTCTTATCGCTTCTAGCCTCACACCGAAGTTTCCAAAAGCCCCTTTCCTTGCAACAAACAGTTCTCCGGCACTCACAAGCACTTAACTTTTGTATGGAAAGAGTTGTTCTTTAGTTGTTCATTT